GATGACTGCCTGGGGCTGCCAGGGGAGGCGAGTGAAGAGAGACTGTGAAGGAGAACGGAGACTAGGAAATGCATATATTGCACTACCAGGTGCGACCGCCCCTCCCCCCTGCTGGAGCAGGATCAGGGACGCCAGCCCAAACGAAGGCTTCAGCACAGCTCCCGATTCTCATAACTCGACACTCGGAAATGTCCGGTTTCCAAAAACTGAAAACTCAGAGCCAAGAATCAGAAAGATCTCCCAGCTGAATGGCAAAAGAGAATCAATAGATGCCAGCTTTCGAGATGACCAGAGATATTAGCATTATCTTGAAAAGATTTTGACAAAGTCATGCATAAAATGCTTGCAGTGAGTAACTACAAATAATGCTGAACACAAATGAAAAAAATAGAAAGTCAACAAAGAACAGGCAAGTATAAAGCCGACTCCAATGGACCACTTTTCAAGCTGAAAAACACAATAACCTTAAATTGCAAGTCAGTGGGTGGCTCCACCCCAGCAGGATACCAGGGAACAAGGAAAGGACATTAGTGATATAGAAGACAGAAACAATAGAGATTGCCCAACTCCTGAGCTCTGAGCAACAGAGAAGAATAGATGAAAAATCAGAAAATCAAACACGACCCCTCAGGGACCTAATCGCGGACACAGTAAAAAGATTTAATATTGGTGCCTCATCCAACCCCCAAGAAGGGAGAAGAAAAGAGGGCAGGGAACTGAAATGCCACTCAAGAAATAATGCTGAAAACTTCAAGTTTGTATAAGAAATAACCCCTAAGTGGATTCAAGAGCTAAGTGTACACAAACGAGACAACGCCAAAGAATCCTCGCTCCAAGACACCCTAATTACTTCTGAAAACTAAAGATAAAGACAAAAATATATTGATAAGCAGAGCCCAGATGATAAGATCCTTACCTGCAGGGGAAATACAAATGTCTAACGACACAGATTTCTCACAGAGACCATGGTGGCGCAGAAAGAGCTAGAACCATGACTGTCAACGGCTAGAAGAAAAAGGACGTCACGTCCTAATTTTACCCCAGTGAAAATTCTTCAGAATGAAGGCAATCCTAGACAGTTTAATGAGAAAGAAAATAAAAAAATTACTCCGTACGCCTACCAAAACGGCTAAAGGAATTCTGTAACAGAAATGATTGAGAAGGAGCTTGGATCATCAAGATGAAAAAGAACATTAGTAGCAAATATGGTTACACAGGCTTTCTCGTTCTCTTGAGTTCTCTAATTATGGCTTTGACCAGTTGGAGCAAAAATTATCCATAGTCTGGTGTGGTGTCTAGATGTATGTGAGAGGAAAATTTAAACCAGTATAAATTTGGCCAGGTAAAGGACGCTAAAGGGAGGTAATCATTTCTATACTTACTAACTGGTAAAATGATCACCACCAACCAGACTGATGACCTACAGCCACCACTAAGAGCTATGCAAGAGATATACCTCAGAAACAGGTAAATCAAAATGGAATTCTAAAAAAATGTTCACGAGTAACCCCGCCAGGCAAGCAGCCGCAGCAAAAGAAAAACACAAGTTAGCAGCCATTATACCAAGACATTCATGTAACAAAAATACTGTGTACCTTAATCATATTGTTGAAATAAAAAGAAAACACAAGAATGAAAACAGAGAAAAAGAACCAAAGCAAACTGAAGCCCACAAGTATATAAATACATTACATTAAAGCAAATTCCAACACACCAATAAAAGACTGAGATTGGGCAAGACTGGATTAAAAGTATGAACACTACTAATATGCTGCATCCCAAGAGACTCATTTCAAATATAATGATATAGGGACAGCGGTTAACGAAATTAAAGATGGGCCCCGGCCCGGTGCTCACGCCCGTTGTAATCCCTAGCACTCTGGGAGGCGAGGCG